TAACATGGGTGACTACTCGAAAGCACTTGAATTTTACGAAAAATCACTTGAGATACGAAAAAAAGCTCTGCCTTCGAATCATCCAGATTTGGCTACTTCGTACGCTCACCTTGGGCTATTGAAAGACAAAATGGGAGAGTATTCGAACGCACTTTCATTTCTAGAAAAGACACTTGAGATTCGACAAAAGTCTCTTCCATCGACACATCCTCTAATTAAAAGGGCCATAGATAACATTAACTATGTAAAAAAGAAAATGTAATTTGTTTTTTTTTTCGATTTGCTGAATAAATTTATTTGCATTACAATTGATTCTCGCGTACGCGCGCGACCAGGAAGACTCCCTGTAAGCCCGCAATGGTTACACGCAGAGCGGACCACGCCGGACTGGTAGGGCATGATCATAGATGTGACGTACGTAAACGGCGACAGGGACCTACGAACAGACGGCCTTCCCGAGTACTCCACTGCTTTCTCCAACATAGGCACAAGAAATCTCCCTGGGTCAGATTACGAAGCCATCTGACGGGCTGTGATATAAAATAGTATCTATCTCCCTCTCTACAGAATAACACAAGTATGAAAGAAAAAAATAACTTGAAAAGTTCTAGTGGCCAATAGAACTTTTCAACTTATTTATAAATTTTTTATCCCAATACGAAAATAAAAAAGAAACAAGTTACCCTATTTAAGATTGGAATATATATATGTATAAATATCATAATTATGTACATAATTATATCTTGCACCTCCTGAAAAAAAATAAAATTTATGAGAATACTTATTCAATCTATTGTTGATACAATAGATCGATTGAATTGAATGATTTTATACAAGAAAATCATTCCTTATATAGGATATTTGAAAAACATGAACTATCATTCAATGATAATGATTAATAGATAATCATCGACGATCAATTTATCGTCAGTCGACGATGAATATGTACTTATTCTATTTACATTACATTCACAGCCGTAACTCAGTGACTAAAAAAAACAAAAAAAAACAAAAACAATTCATTTCAATGGTTATTGTTTGAATTTCCATGTAGGAAATTTCATTCTTTTCTTTGACATCATTTTCATTGAATAATGATGATTATTTTCGAAAACTAAGATTTCTTCATTATTTTCATTATACAAACGATCAAATAATTTATGTAAATTTTTTTAGAGAAAAATCGTTTTAATCGATGTCTGTTATGTGAAATTTATCGTGTGTCACAATTTAAAATGAATGAATATATGGTTGAGTTTTTGATGAAGTTCTAGATCAATTAATTACTAAACAAAGATTTATTGTAAAATATTTTCGTACATATATTTGTTTTGATGTATCAATTCTTTTCTAATTCATTTCATGAGTATTGTTCGGAATCTCATATTTCAAATCCATAAACAATTATAACATCAGCCTTCACTTGTTATGATACTGTAGTTAGTCAGTGGTCTTTTGACTTTCCTGATTTCAGCATCATAGATTTTTCTTAATCAAACTAAATGTAATGATTTATCAGGTATAGATGGTAGTTCCAAAGAAATAAAGATTACTGTTATTGCTGGTAAAATTCGTCGTTGTATATATATTCATTATTTTACTTTTTTCTTTCATCAGATATTTCTAAGAAATATTCTATTAATGGAGTATCACCATAGTTGTTTCGCCATTTTCTATTCTAACATTCTTAACTGGCTATTCTAATTTTAAAGACTGATATAGAGAGTTTTTAGAACATATTTCTTTTAAATAAGAATCTTCAACTCATATTAATAAATTGTTTTGGTGTCTGACAAAGATGTTATAGTTGCTGTTGTCATTGATCTTTGTATTTGTCTTTCTTGTTATCATCCGTATTTCTAGATATGCCACGCATTAGACCATTATTTTGCGATTACGATTTCTTAAATTATTTTTTCGTTGCATAAAGGACAAGCCAGAAATCTTGATACGATTTGAATATTAAAATTTTCTTCGTGAAATAAATATTTGTAAAATTTGTCTTTATGATGAAAAGATACAGTAAAACACACACACTACAATATAATTTTTTATTCACTTCACTATTTCATGTAGTGAGAATTGAAATCAGAATGTAACGTAACTCGTTCGTAAAGTCTCAGAGAACAAATTCGTTGTGTAAAATTGAAAATATATCATGTTAAGATTCTTTTTCTAAATCATAAATAAATAAGCCATCTGATAGGATCATCAAGCAAGATCGAACTTAGTTATGGTAACTTCTTCACTACCATTAAAAAGCCATATTTTTACTTAGATTTAAACAATAATTTCTTTGCTCATATCCCATTCAAAATTCAATTTTTTTTTTATTTTTAGAAAGTTTTATCTCAACTGATCAACTGATAAATAAATATATTGAAATTAGATTCTCACATCTCAAGATTCCGATATTTCTATGATTCTAAAGGGATACATATATATTAACAGTGGCTTCACACATCTTAGTTTTCGGGTAATTATTTATGAATGATATCAATTTATTATTTAAATTTTAAGTTGAAAAAAAATAGAACATGATTTTATTTGATTATTATTGTTTATGACCACAAGCCAGAAAATTTGTTTGACTATAATAAAAGTCGATTGTTTTATCAGCACATGCTCCTCCAGTTGGACCAACATGTGGACAATGTATAGATGGTAATAAAGGTACAAAATATGTGTGAATAAAACGGCAAATAACATTTCCTTGATCTCCTCTTGCTACTCTTCAACTAAATCAGCTGTTTTTTGTTTCTTAGGATAGACCATAGATTGAAGTTCTTATTCATGTTGAAACAATCCATACATACATATTAAATTAGCAAACTGTTCTTTTTTTCTTATATTTATTTGTTAATAAATGTCAAATATAAAATAATCAAAAAAATAAAGAAAAAGTCAATATTCTTCTATTTTTTGTCGATCTTTTTCAATTTGTAAAACTTCTTTTTATTAAACAATTTGAATTTGAATCATCGGAAAATGTTCGTTTAATAGAATTATTTGTTAATTGACCAAAAAAGAGATTTTTTTCATTTCTGTTAATAAGAATATTATCTTGATTCTCATTTGAATTATTTATTTTTGATATTGTTGCAATAGTTGTTAAAAATTTACCATCTTCAGTTCAAGTTCGAGTCGTTCGTACTGTATCATTTGCACCTAGAATTTATTTATTTAAAAAAAAAGAAAAAAATTTCAATACGATTCATATGATTTCAATTCCATTAGATTTAATAAATTTTATAAATAATATTATTATTTTATTAATTTATTTAATATGTTAATTAATTGTTTATTTGAATACGTCAACTAACAACTATTTTACTAAATATTTATTTATTTCATATATTTACATAATATGAGAGAAAAAAATGTTTGAATAAATAAATAAATTTTATTATTCAATTAAGTTAAATAAAATTGATCGAAATATAAAAATAGTTCTTATGTATTTATTTAATTGTAGACAAATATTCTTATTTGTTTTATATTAAATAAAAGAGAAGAATCTAATAAATAAATTCTATTTCAATTAATTCAACTAAGATTTTACTTATTTGACTAGAATTTTTTAATGAAAATTTTTCAAATCTAATCAAATATTTAATTCCAACGTAGATTTTATTAAAAAGAAAAATTCTCTATCGAAAATTCAATGGAGAATTCGACTTCTGTTTTTTTTCTTTTTGTTTTTTAATGAATTGATCTTGTTAAGGATCGATATATCGTCTATATTTTAATTCATTGTCGATTAAATAACTTGTATATATATATTTGTTATTGTTGAATATAATAATTAATATATAGTTATCATGAACAATATTTATTAGAAATAATATTAAATAAATATTTAATTATACAATTGACAATAAATAATCAATAATAAAAGAAAAAAAACAAAGAAAAGAACAAAAGGTTACCTACTTGAATCGATGATGATAAAACATTCGATGTTGAATTTGTTTGAATTTTATTTAATGAATAATTAATTGAAGAT